ATCAAATACCCCACTTTCTAGCTCATTATTTTCAGTATAATTGATGGGTTAAAATCGATAAATAATCAAGTTCGATATGATAATAGTTATCGATCCAACTAGTTTACCTCCCGATTCAAAATAAATTATATGACGCAGGATTCCGCAAGTCCTGCAAGTTGATCATAATCTTACTCCAAATGCTGAAATTATGTTGCCATTTGTTCCATGAGGGAAAAAAAATAGGACTGTCAGTTAAACGGGTCAAACCGAATATCAACCCGCACCGAACCCATTTAAGGGGACACGGTTCGGTTAATCGGATTATTCAGGTAATACGAGTGTACCCATTCAACCACAGAAAAAAGGTGGTTCGGATGCGGATTCAGAAATTTTTTTCGGGCGGTTATTTTTAATTAATTTATTTTTTAAAAAAGATATAAGGGGAACATTAGGGTTTCGATCATTTCTCTTTCCTCTTCTTTTTTTTGGGCGCACCTGCATAGATGCGGCGACGCCGCTCCTTCACCCTCCTCCATTTTTGCCGACAAATCCCTCATTTTCTGACCGATCTTTTGCCCTCCGTAAGCACCGTAACTAATCTGGCTAATCTTTTATTCCTTTTAGTTCCCAAATATTTAGTTCGCCCTTCCAGAGTTCCAGATCTGGTTCTTTCCACATTCTGATCTGGTCTTTCATTCTGAATTTTTGAATTCCGAAGGTTGTTGAACACTCCGGTCAATCCCCCAATCGAAGTCGATACCTCTCCTCTTCTAGTCCTCTTCAAAGCCACTAGATTCCTCTGATCTGAAGGTCACAACGACTCCACTAAAACGGTAAGGAAACATTTTCAATCTGTTTCTGTTCCTTTTTTTTTTTTTTTTTTTGCATGCATCAAGTCATAATATTTGTGTCTTCTTTGTTTTGGTCTTCTTTAATCATTGGAGATTTTTGGATTTTCTTTCTCATGTTTCATCTCTTTTGATAATCTGATGAATGATGAAACTGAAATTGTCAAATGGATTTGCTTTTCAGTTCCCCTTTTTTTCCATTTATTTCTAGCTGATCCATGTGCTTGACTGAGTGTTTGTAAGTTGTTCTTGGTGGCAGACTGTATCACTATCTACTGAGTGCTCTATTTTGTTGCGTGTATTGTTTGTTGCCTAGTTTTTGTAATCACTGGGTCTTTTTTTGGTCGGGGTTCTTTGGTTTTTGTAATCACTGGGTCTAGTTTTAAGGTTTTTGATCAGTTTCCATTTCTTTGTAGATTGTGACTGTCAACTGTAAACTAATTTTTTTTTCCTATTTTTTAGATGTCTCAAGTTGCTGATAACACTGATGACATTAAGGAGATTGACGATCAGGAGTTTCATGAGCTTCTGAATCTGCCTAATATTCCTGAGGATGATGAACCTGTCATGATCGATGTTGAAGTCGAAACGACTAGACCAGTTGAAGTTGTTTGTAAGCCTCCAGGAAAACGCAGGGTAAATCAAAAGAGGCCTATGGTATGGCCCCGTTTCTCTTCTTTTACTGATACAAAAGGTGAAGCATGGGCTGCATGTAATTACTGTGGTACTAAGTATAGGGCTGAAAGTAAAAAACATGGTATAAGTAACCTTCGTAGTTATTTGCTGGTTTGTAAAACGTATTTGTCTTTGAACCATGATCCTGGTCAAAGTAAGTTAATTGTTGAAAGTAAGGAAGGAAAACATGCTAATATAACCAGCTGGAAGTATAATGAAGAAGAAAGCACAAGGGCATTCATTTATATGATCATCGTCGTTGAGCTTCCTTTCATGTTTGTTCAGAAAAAAAGGGTTTAGGTATTTTCTGCGAAAGTTGCAACCTTTGTTTGTTCCCAAGTGTAGACAAATTGTACATGCTAATTGTTATAAGTTGTATTTGGCTGAAAAGGAAAAACTGAAACATGAGATAAAGGAAAATGTTAATAGAATCTGTTTGACCACCGATACTTGGACTTCTTTGTAACAGATTAACTATATGTGTCTTACTGCCCATTATGTTGATAACAGTTGGAATCTAAAAAAGAAAATCTTGAGTTTCTGCCCTATTTCGAGTCATAGTAGTGTTGATATTGGGACATCAATTGAGGATTGTTTGTTGGATTGGAAAATTGAAAATGTGTTTACTATCTCTGTTGACAATGCAAGTGCTCTTGATGTTGCTATGGAATATTTGCAAGAAGAATTTGCTCATGGTGAAAATATATTTTGGGAGCAAAGTGGTTGCATGTTCGTTGTATGGTTCATGTAATGAATCTTGTTAAGGATGGTTTGAGTCATATTGGTAAATCTGTTAAAAGGATTAGAGCTGCAATAAAATATATTAGGCAGTTCCCTCAAAAGATTGTAAAGTTTAGGAAATGTGTTGAAATAGAAAAGTGTAATAGATCTAAGAATATGATTTTAGATGTTTGTACAAGGTGGAATTCCACATATTTGATGTGGGAAACAGCCCAAGCTTATGAAAGAACATTTAAGAGGTATGAATTAGGTAGACCACACTATAGGACACTTTGAAACATGTTCCTGAGGATCCAAAAAATTCAGGGCCTGGGTTGTCTACGGCATTGGATTGGTTGGAAGTTAGGAGAGTGGCTGTTCTTCTTCAACATTTTTACGAGATTACGTTGAAGGTATCTCGTACCAAATCTGTCTCTTCGGATTCCTTTTTTGATAATATTACCTGCATTGAAGTGCTGTTAAAGAAAACAATTAATGAAACTGTAGATCCTGAACAACAAGCTATGAATTTAATGATGAAATCCATGTTTGATAAATATTATGGTAATATTGAAAAGATGAATGTTGTTCTTTACATGGCATTTGTTTTAGATCCAAGAAATAAGTTTGATTACATGGAAATTGTGCTAGATAAATTGTATGGAGAAGTTGATGGGAAAACGAAACTAGATCTTGTTAAAAGTTCTTTGAGGGAGTAACGTTAGAATCCATACCTTTGATTCTAGATTTAGTTCACCTTCCTCCACTGTTGGGAGTAGTTCTTCTCAATTTGCTGCATTGGGGAAAAGATCTTCTCCGATAGACATTGAAGCTTCAAAGATGCTTAGGGATCAATTTAGGACAGAGCTGTTGAAGAAGAAAAATTTGGAAAGTGGTGGAAATATTAAAAACTCAGATTTGGAGAAGTATTTGAGGGAGACAACTGAATTAGATTGTCCCACATTTGATTTGCTGACCTGGTGGAACGTTAACATTCCAAGATTTCTGATCCTTTCTTTGATGGCTCGTGATATTTTAGCAATCTTTATATCTACTGTAACGTCCGAATCTGTTTTTAGCACGAGTGGGAGGGTTTTAGATGCTTTTAGGAGCTCTAACTCTGAAGACTGTTAAAGACTTAATATGCACTCAAGATTGGCTTAGGGAGGCTGAAGCTGTTGAAGAAAAATGGAAAGATCTCATAAAAATTAAAGGTCAACAGTACTAAATGGCATTTGTGATTTTCAATATTTGCATTTTCATATTTTCAGCTATTTAAATTCATTTCTGGCTACAATGATTTTTTCAGGTGTTGAAACAGGGGAACCAAATCTGGACTGAGCTACGATGTGGCCTAAATTTGTTAGTTTGCAGACTGAAATAGGTACTTATCAAACTGAAGTTCTTAATTTGCAGACTGAAATTCTGAGTTTGTGGCTTGAATTTGCATACTTAATTTCTGAATTTGTATTTCTCAGATTGCCAAGTTGAAGATTCCAGTCCAACTTTGAACTGTGATTCTGTGAAGACAAGACAGAAGTTGAATTGTGAAGACTGAAATCTGTTTTTCAGTATTTTCAACTCTGTTTAAGTGTTTTGTTCTTGAATTTCTGTTTTTAAGTTATCCGGATTGTGGACTTGTAACGAACTTGTTAAATTTGTTGTAAACTTGTAATGTTGTGGCCTGTCAGTGTCACCTGTTGGCAGTGAAGTACATTTACTCATTTAGTTCATTTGTTGAATGTCGAATGCTAGAATGAGACCATTTGACATTTATGTTGTGAACATATGACATAATTTGTGATATTATTTTTGTTGATTTAAGTTTGTTGCCTGTTCATATTTGAGTTTGTAAAATGTTCAGTTTGTTCAGGTTTTTGCCGAGTTTCAGTTTATTCAGTCAGTCTGAGTAGCTGAAATTGGTTGAATGTCCTGATTCGGTTAAACCGAAACCGAATCGCCAAACCCGATTGTTTATTAGGTCGTTCGATTAGGTTAATAGTTTCTGCGGTTCGATTTTGAGCGGTTTATGTAGTTAGAAAAATTGATTAACCCGAACCGATCGAACCCGCCCAATCTGACAACCCTGAAAAAAAAAGAAGAAAAAAGAACAGCATGATTTGAAAACAAGAATTAATACTAGATAGATATGATTCTCAAGAATATACTCTGACACACCAACCAAAAATCAACACACACATGTATTACATAAAAGAGTATGTGTATTAAAAAAAAAAAAAGTTTTGTACTACATTGTACTATACGAATAAACATACTACAAATCTTATTTGGACATGACTTCAATTGTCGTGAAGAAAAAAAATAAAATAAAACAATAGAAAAGCATGCTTACTTAAAATAGTCTTATACTGCTTTTCTATGTGGAATCCAACAACATATTTTTTATATCAAGTTTAATTTTTGAATTAATGAATTAATTTATTCTTGTTCCTCATCATTCCTCCCCCCAAACCCCATCACTATAAAAGCAGAGTTGGGACTAAAACTTTACCCGGATTTTCATCGGCGGTGCAATTTCTATTATTATTATTATTGTTATAATTAAGTAGTCAAGCACTCTTTTTTTCCGCTTTTCTTTCGCCCTTGCTTCATTTCAGGCTTCCTCCTTCCTTTTCTCCAACTACTTGTTTTTTTTTCCCCTTATATATATATATGAACCATATTAAAACCCATATTCCCAAATCAAAAAACCCTATTATTATAATTGAGACGATCAAGAAGAAAAAAAGATCATAATTCTTTTTATCTGTTTTGATGGCGGCTGGGGAGAAGAAATTTCAGGAGAGCCATTTCGACGTCCTCGGGATTTGTTGCCCTTCAGAAGTTCCAATCATTGAGAACATTCTGAAGCCACTTGATGGAGTTCGAGAGGTTTCGGTGATCGTTCCGACGAAAACTGTGATCGTTCTTCACGACGGCCTCCTCATTTCTCAGCTTCAGATTGGTAAAAAAAATTTTTAACTCTCGCTGTTATAGTACTATATATATATTTTTTTAAGCGCTTTAAAGGTTTATTTCAATCTCTTTTTAGTTTTTTACTGTTTTGGTTTGTTGTTGCTATTTTTCGTCTTTGATACGGCTCTTCTTGATCATCATTTATTGATGCCGTTTAAAGTTTAAACCACATCTTGAATCCGTTTTGTGTCTAATCAGTTTATTGTCAGTGATTTCGTCTTGATACTCATGTAAAATACTATCTCCGTCCAAAAAAAAAGTCTACATCGAATTCTTAAATTCGTACTGATTTTAGTATAAATTTCAAAATTCAAAATGGACTTTTTCTTTGGGACGTCATTTTCCATAGTTTAGAATATCCTACAATGGTTTAGTCCGTAACGTTTTGATCACTGTATAATGTTTTATAATATTTGGAGAGTTCACTATTTCGTTTTTTTTTTTTTGTTTTTGGAAAAGAGAAATCACACACAACTATTTTTATCCACGTTACAAGCCCGTAAGATAGTTAACAAATCGCGGGGTTTGGTTTTGACTAATCACGTTTTTATTCCTCTACTTTTGCTCTTTCTGTTTTGCTAAGCACTGGAAAAGAATTCTAACATGTCACGTTTCATCTGCTTTTTTTTTTTTGTTTTTCTCTTTTCTTTTTTATCTTATCCTTATCATTTCCTTTATGTGTAAGCTTGCATTTACCACGTTTTGTTTTTGGGTTAGTTATAAAATGCAAGATATTAATTGTGATAACCATACAGTAAATGGTAATGGTATGGGAGGAAAAAAAAATACGTTGAATCATTAACAAAATATTTACGAAATTGTTGGGATTAGAACGGGAAAATCAACTGCAAACGATAATCACACCAAATTTTACGGGATACTCCTAATTTATTACAATTATCGTACTGAATTATTCCTTAATGATAGAACTGAAAAAGACATCAAATTAAATGATATTCTAGACAGCCTTGCTAATTGCTAACAAACTAGCTTAAGAGGATGATAAAATGCATGTATAATTAAGATTTGCGAAAAGTTCATAGAGAAAGAGATATATAATAGCTGAAAAAAGAGTTTGATTTGATTTGTATTTTGGAGTTTTTCTCGTGGCCAGTACGTTCATGGCTTTTGATGACTTCAGATTTGGAAAAGATTTTGAAGAGACTCCTGGCCCCCACCTTTTTTCTTCAGGTGATAGTGAAATTCCCAAACAAAAAATAAAAAAATAAAAAAATAAAAAAAAGACCCATATTTGGTTAGTGGTTTTCTGATTTTCTCAAGGGGTCGGATAAAATTGAGAACGCAATCTGCTGAGGGAAAAGAAAACGGAAGATAACAGCAGTCACATTAATAATGCTATCATGGAATCAGCTTTATTGTCATCACTGTTTATTTCCTTTTTCTCCCCTTTTCTTTGGACAACTTTTGTTGAAGCAATTGATCTTGTCCCAAAATGATTGTTGCATCTGTTACACGGTGTTAAAACTTAAAACTGAATAATTATTTTACAATCATAGAACAAGTACAATTCCGAAGCAGTTTTTGTTCACATGAAAGTTTTGTAATGATTTTCTACATGACCATGGACTATAAACATTTTTAATTTTCTTCTTATTTGTAGCTATACACTTATTATTATTATTACTTGAAATGAGTGCATATATGCATGATACACCGCATAATGAGGTTGGTCAGAAACTAAACATGTAGCGTTTAGTAAATTACTCATATTTAATTAGCAAGTTCTCCCATTCCAAGGTAACTTAATTAGACCTTACCACATATATATTCAGTCATTCATCATCATCACCATCGACAACTCATTATTGGTTGGTAGCGGTCCGTGATAAATAGGAATAATTTTGGGACGAAAATATTACAAATTCGAATTTGAACCAATATGTTTTCTTATTTTTCCTCTTGTGTTTGTTTTCTTTGACATGGGGCAGTTAGAGCTCTAAACAAAGCCAGTTTAGAGGCAAGCATTAAAGTGAAGGGTGGAAAAATCGTACGCAAGAAATGGCCAAGCCCATACGCAATTGCCTCCGGGGCATGCCTTTTGCTCTCATTATTGGGATACTTTTTTCAGCCACTGCATTGGTTGGCACTTGGAGCTGTTGCCTTTGGGATTTTGCCAATAATTAGCAAGTCCATTACTGCACTTCGCAATCGCGCTTTCGGAGATATCAATATCCTTGTCGTGATTACAGGTATATATGTATACTTAAACCCTTCAATTCCGATTCTGTTTGAAACGGTTTTTTTTTCCCTTAAGAATGCATTATTTGTGAGTGGTTTCTTCTGGTTAAAATGTAAAAATAGTTTATTGAAAACATAAAATGACGTACTGTAACGTATTGTAAATACAAAAAATAAAATTACAAATGTGTTAAACATGTATAAAAATGGTTATTTTTTCAGCTCCCTTTAAGAAAGTGTCTCATTAATTTGTTAGCACTCACTTTCAAAATGCTTAAGATTCTCGTAAGGTGGAAATGATTAATGCAAAACTTTCTAGCTGCAAAATCAATGTTCAGTATGAAGAAACAAAGAACAATTATTTTTAAAAAAATTTAAAAAATAAAGTATGCTCGGAACAGGAAATAAATGAGTGGTACGAATTGTGTCTTCTTCTTCAGTGGAAATGCGGTCCTTCATGCTTTGTGTTTTATAAAAAATAAGTAATCACCACTAAATTTTCAAAAGTGAAAATAGTACTTTTTCACCTTTATGGTGCATAATTATTATCAGTTGAAACAATAACATATAATGCCCTACCATCTTTTTATTATGGACCTCTCTGAACTTACAAAATCATTTCTCAATCTTATAGATTAGCTTGCCTTTAATCATAAGCTTAATCGTTATTTTATCATATCAGTGACTAGTAAATGATGTTATTTTTTTACAAATGTATGTTGTGTTGATAGACATTGCCTTGTGGGTAACACAAACTATGGAAGAAGATTTTGAAGGGGACTTCGGCTCCTGTCAACTTCCATAACTGAATCCGTTACAACTTACAAACGTGCCAACTTGTACAAATTGCATTTGAAAAAGCCCCAAAAAGTGAACAAATTATTCAATCAGATGGATTTTACCTAAAAGTTTCAGGAAAAGGTTTGAAAGAAGCAAAGACTATTTTTCTTTTTAGAAAAAAATAATCATAATACCGATGTACGAACAGTGAACTTATGACCATTGTGATTACAATAGATTTTTGAGGATTATAGTTATTTCCAGAATTGAATGAAGATATTACTAGGTAAAATGCTGCAAGAACCAAGAAGATCAAAATAATTTACATAGTAAAATGAGCAAAACAAAGAGTTGGCCTTTGATCCTAAATTTTGAATTAAACTGTGACAATAAAGTTATCAGTGGTGTTATTGTTAACATAGGTAGTAATATTTCTATACAATCTGGCATTAACATTTTTGCTTCAAATACGATGTGTTTTGCAGTTGCTGGTTCAATTGCTTTAAAGGATTACTGGGAAGCTGGTACAATTGTATTCTTATTTGCCATTGCAGATTGGTTAGAATCACTTGCGAGTCACAAGGTTCGTGACAATTTATCAATAAGATGTTCTTTCTTCATTCGTTCTGCTTGGTTTAAGTTATAAAATGAAGATTTACTTGAACTACTGGATCTGCAGGCCGCTGCAGCAATGTCATCATTGCTGAATGTAGTTCCACAAAGAGCTTTATTAGCTGAAAACAGCGAAGAGGTAGATGTTGGTGAAGTAAAGATTAATACTGTTCTTGCTGTAAAGGAAGGTGAGATGATTCCTATTGATGGAGTTGTCATAGAAGGAAATTGTGATGTCGATGAGAAGACATTGACGGGAGAATCATTCCCAGTTGCCAAACAAAAAGATTCCAGTGTTTGGGCCGGCACCATGAATGTCAATGGTAGTGATACTTTTTCTAGCTATTTGTTCAAGTAGGTCTATGAGTACTGAAATCCTGAAGTTGTCATTTGCTGATTTCTGATTTTTTAATTTTTATTTTTTATTTTTTTGGTTTATAAGGCTACATAAGCATTAGGACTACAGCACTCGCAGAAGATTGCGTGGTGGCGAGAATGACAAAACTAGTTGAAGAGGCACAGAAGAATAAGTCTAGGATAGAGAGATACATGGAGAAATTTGCCAAGTACTACACTCCAGGTTAGTTCTATTAGAATAAACTTCAAGGCCAACAAATGGTTGTACTTTCTGGCATAGTTTTAACTACTATGCACACTTGATGCACAAAAGTTTGATTTGAAAACAAGAAAATTTGTTGGTCGCAATTATGTTATTAATGCATTTTGGTTTGTCAATGTTATATTTCTTGGGTGGACAGATTTCAGAACTATTCTAACCATTGTTTACTAATTCCCCTGCAGGCATCATTTTGATATCGATTGCAGTGGCAGTAGTTCCTGTTATTTTAAGGGTTCACGATAAGAAGAAATGGTTTCACATCGCGTTGGTTGTTCTAGTAAGTGCATGTCCGTGTGCACTTATCCTGTCAACTCCCGTGGCCATGTTCTGCGCGCTGACAAAAGCCGCAAATTTAGGCGTTTTCTTCAAAGGTTCAGATTATCTTGAGATGCTCGCTCGAGTTAAGATCATGGCTTTTGACAAAACCGGGACACTAACTAGAGCAGAATTTGGAGTGACCGAATTCAAATCTCTAGCAAATGACATTAGCCAGAAAACTATACTATACTGGTAAGGTTTCCACTGTTATTCTCATTATAATTCATTGAAACATTTTGCTAAATCCATGACCTGAAAAAATGCAGGGTGTCAAGTATTGAGAGTAAATCAAGCCATCCAATGGCAGCCGCTCTGGTTGATCTTGCAAAATCACATTCAATTGAGCCAAACCCTGATGCAGTGGAGCACTTTCAGAATTTCCCTGGGGAAGGAATATATGGTAAAATTGATGGGAAAGAAATCTACATTGGAAACGCTAAAATCGCTTCAAGGGTCGGAAGTCAATCAGGTGAAGTGAACATGTTTTGGTCTTATGTTAATACATAGACGTGCTATGCTCGAGTACATTATAGAAAAATATTGTAGCACTGCTCTTAAGTAATGAGTCCCATGTTTTTCAATTTTCAGTTCCAGAACTAGAAGGAAATGATGAAGGAAAGTCAGTTGGGTACATATTTTTGGGTTCAACTCCTGCTGGAATTTTCCGTCTTTCTGATGTTTGTCGTACTGGAGCAAAAGAAGCATTGCAACAATTGAAATCAATGGGCATCAAAACCGTTATGATTACAGGAGATTGTTACGCAGCAGCCAAACACATACAAGACCAGGTAAGCAACTAAAACTCATTAAACTTGCAGATACTTTTTTACAGTGTAATTGTCTGAATTTTAATGCACCAGATCAAGACAAAATTTAGGTCTATCTTGAAGCTTGCCCACTGCACAGAAATTTCTGTATGTGTGAAATTCCAGGAATAAATGTGCTATTGAGGCCTTCAATATCTAATGTATGCAAAACTTTCTTCATAGCTCTTTGAGTGGCTGTTCACTCTTCTCAAATCCATAAGCAGTCAGATGGCAATTGCTCATAGGCAAGATGAAAATATCCTTGTTTGGTCCATGTGATTGTACACATTATCTTGGTCTTATGATTAAGAAGAAGCTCCCATTTCATCAGTATCATAGATTTACTACAATGATTTAGTCCATGTCGTTAGATTATTTTTTTTGAGGAAACAATCATGTGCTTGCAGTTGGATGGCGCTCCTGAAGTCATCCACGCAGACCTCTTACCAGAAGACAAAGCGAGAATCATTGAGGACTTCCAGAAGCAGGCATGCACTGCAATGATCGGTGATGGAATCAACGACGCACCAGCACTAGCAACTGCTGATGTGGGCATCTCAATGGGTGTTTCAGGATCATCACTAGCAACAGAAACAGGCCATGTGATGCTAATGACAAATGACATTCAGAGAATACCAAAAGTTGCAAAACTAGCTCGAAAAGTGAAGACAAAAATCCTTCAGAACATTATCCTTTCAATAGCTACAAAAGGTTCTATCCTCGGCTTGGCCATAGCTGGTCATCCAATGGTTTGGGCTGCAGTTCTAGCAGACGTCGGTACATGCTTAGTGGTGATCTTGAACAGTATGCTTCTTCTAAATGGATTCCCAAGATACCGGAGAAAATGTTGTCAGTCTTCTGCGGCATCAACAGAACACAAACACGGGAAAAAATGTTCTGGCAGTGATTCATTGCATAAACATCAGCCCTGTTGTCCTGACAAGAAAAAAGCTCCGAAACAGTGTGATGCAAAGAAATGCTCTTCAAAACATTGTGCGCCAGCAACCAAACAGCATTGTGTTCCTGACAGTTCCATTTCTAGCGCCAGTGGAAAAGGTCAGTACTCAGAGTCAATTATCAAAAACAGCTGCTGTGGACATGAATCACATGAAAATCAAATTCGAAAGCGAAATGTTGAATGTACAGGGTGGTCAAACACACATCATCATCATCCACATCAGCATCAGCATCAGCATCACCACCAGCATCCTCCTCCTCCTCCTCATCATCATCATCATCATCATGAAATGGATGGTTCAGATTCAACAAAGAAACATGCAATTTGTTCATCAACGAAGGAGAAACAGGACAAAACTTGTTCCCAAAGTGATTCGTGTCACGCTAAACAGCCTTGTTGCGCTGATTTACCACCACAACCTCATTGTGAGGTGCAACTGCAGCAATGCTCTTCCAATGCAAATTGCTCGGAACCAAATGGAAAGCAGATTTGTGGCCACAACAATGAAATCGTCGAAGCTAAATTCTCAGATCATGATCATGGAAGCTGCAACAGTCATGTTGGCCATCAGGAACCAACCAAACTGCACCACCACGGAGGAGGACCAGGATGTTGTGATTCGACTAAAAAACTAGGGAAAGAAGCAGTTCATGATCATTTCAACAAAACCTCTGCACATGGTAGTTCTTCCAGCACTACTACTGGCCTGAAGCCGGAAGATCGAATTGACATTGATGAAGAGCTTGGAAAAATAGTTGAGCTTTGTTGCGATCACGAATCAACGATCAACAGGCATTCCAGAGGCAAGAATCATCATCATGATGCAGGGGAATGTGACCATTCAAATCATTCAGGTGGGCACAATTTATTAGGAGACCCCCATAACCATAACAATCATGTTCATCATCATCATCAAGGCAGCAGAAATATGGCTTGTGTGGCATTGGAGAGTAGACATGTTGTTGGTGGATGCTGTGAGAGTTTTAGGAAGGAATGTTGTGTTCATTCAGGACATTTTGGGACTAACTTGAGAGGAGGGTTGACAGAAATTGTCATTGAGTAGTTAAGTTATTAGGCTTGAAAGAATGTGCAAATTTGTTTTCAGTTGCACAGATGGGTTGGTTCAAATTGATGTAAACTGGGCTATTGCTGAAAGGTGTTTTTGTTCTGACTTTCAGACTTCTACATTTTCATCAAACATTTGGAAGCCCAAAACCAATCCATAATTTCTTTTCTTATGGATTTTTAGTGTCTGGCAGGCATGTTTAAAGAATAAAATCATTGTTGAGGACATTTGCGCCGAAAGGAGATTAACGAGGTCAAAAAAAAAAAAAAAAAAAAAGAAGAAGAAGAAAAAAGGGAGTTTCACGTGGTCAAATGAAAATTATTGCGTAGTTTAAATGTAAGATATGTCTATACAAAATTATCTCACGAGCCCTGTACCAAAACAATAATAATACAATATCCTTATAGTGTTATTTCATGATTCCACTGTTCTTGATCGATTTGAAAACAGCTAGAATTTGTATTAGAAATTCGCACCATTTCGGTACATAAATGAAATATAAATTGGGCTTATCTAATCTCTATTCTCTAAAAATAGTTCATATTTTAAAATTTATACTAAAAATAGTTCATATTAAATTATGAATTTGTACTTTTTTAATTAATTTTAAAATTTGAATTTTTTTTTTATATACAAATGAGTATATCATTAACCTAGTTTATTGCAAACTCTCCACGCAAATATTTGGATGTAAAATGCATCAGGTTGCGTAGCGAACGACGGGTATAGTTTTCACCTCACCTCTTTGGCATGATTTTCCTCTGATCAAGACGCCATTTTTCTTTTTCACCAAAGGAAAAAAAAAAGAAAAAGAAAAAAAAAAGGACTCCATTTGGCTTTTGTCGGCCCTATATACTAGATCTCTCCAAGATTCCAACCAGACTTTTTAACAGAGTAAAAGTTGCATGGTTAACTTAAAAAGAGGCATGAACTCTTTTGTAAAAAAGAACAGGAAAAAAAAGAAAGAAAAGAGGAGCCATGCATTTTTATCTCTAAATACACAAAAAGGTAAATAAAAAAATAATTAACGAAAACTAAAAACTCATACTCCTTTTTCAAAAAACTGAAGGCTCATTTCTTCTCAGAATGATGTCCAATTTAGGTCTTCGTTTTCGTATCACGTTGTATCAAAAGTGAAAAATTTAAATATGAAAATCATTTTAGAAGAAAGGAAATATTCCATTTTGCGTATTGTTTTAGTTAAACAGAATTGAATTATTTTTTTGTGAGTGCTACTATTAATGGTACATTATAAATTCAAACATTTGTTGTAATAAAAAAGTTACAGAACAAGTGAACAATACATACCAAAGATGTATACGAGGACATCGTGTATTTCCAGATTAGTTTCCTACGTTATTTTTCCGTTCATTTATGAAAGCATCAGGACGGGGCAGCAATTTAGTGGTCAAATTTCATATCGTTGGACCAAACGGCCGGCCGATATGCAACCAACTATTCTGAAAAAAACATATCCTTGTACATAAAGGCCTAATTGGCCACGCCTTTGTGGTATAGGCAACAGAGAAAAAATAAAGACGTGAGATCCTTCTGCATAATTGCCTGATTTGGACCACGCCTTTATTGTATAGGCAATAGAGAAAAAAATAAAAAAACGTTAGATCCTTCTACATAATTGCCTGATTGGACCAAGCCTTTATGGTGTAGGCAATCGAGAAAAAATAAAAACGTGAGAGGTCATCTCCTCTTGTATGTTTCTGGGCCTTCTGTCCTCACGTTATACTGTGGGAATAGTCGTCTGTCAAATCCGGCGGATGATCCGGCCAGAAATGAAAAATTTAGTCAAGAAATGGAGACCGCAATCCTTCTTAATCGAAGATTCCAGAATCTCAGAGGTAGAAATCAAGAAAACGAAACTTTGAATTTCCAAAGCAAGAGTTGATTAATGATATTCGATGCCACCAGAATTACATCTCCGGACTAAATATACAGCCCGGCCAAGTTAACTACAGTAGAAGAATAATGCTGCATGTTTATCATTAATTTTGACTTAAAACACAATTAATCAAGACGACGTCGTTTATGGAATTATTTTGTAAAACTTCAGAAATGACTTTGGCGTCCATGACAACTCCCGCCACCTTAAAAATCAACTTGACTCAAGTTGAAAATGCAGGAAACAGGCCTTTGATCCAAGCTGCATACTCCCATGAGGAGTCCTCCAATTCCAAGCCACTCCATTTTACCAACCATTGTTCCACTTCCCGAGCTCCCCTCAACACAACCTTCTTTGCAAAACGCGTTCAGGAATCAATGCACAAGCCTCAGGATCCTCCAAGTCAGGTAGATTAGATATCTGTGTAGGATTAGCTCTAACATACTTCTTTAGTAAAGATACATGGAATACTGGATGTACCGTAGTACCTTCTGGCAATTCCAACTTGTAAGCCACACTGCCTATCTTATCCAGCACTTTGTACGGGCCAAAGAATCTATTCATCAATTTCAAACAACTCCTATTCACCAAAGACTGCTGTCTATAGGGCTGAAGTTTAAGCAACACCCAATCTCCCACCTGGAACTGCCTTTCACTTCTGTTTTGATCTGTAAAATGCTTCATCCTTAGCTGAGCCTTGTTCAAGCTATCCCACAGTTTGGTCATAACCATCTGCTTTTGCTGAAGCAGATCATCAATAGCTGGAATCACAATACCACTGTAACTTCCAAATGGTATTCCTGTGGCATGATAACCATACAGTGACTGATAAGGTGACATTTGTGCACTTGTATGGTGTGAAGTATTATACCACCATTCTGCTAACATCAACCATTTAGACCAATTATTTGGGGCAGTACTAAAAAAACACCTCAGGTATGCCTCAACACATTGATTAACTCTCTCAGTCTGTCCATCAGACTGTGGATGATATGCAGTGCTTAAGTTAAATTGCACTCCCAGGGTTTGGAACAAAGTTTTCCAAAAATGAGAAGTAAAGATCTTATCTCTGTCTGAAACAATGGCATTAGGCAATCCATGCAACCGATATATCTCCTTCAGAAAAACATCAGCAACATCCTTGGCAGTAAAAGGATGCTTAAGAGGTATAAAGTGACCATATTTAGTCAATCTGTCCACCACTACCATAATGCAGTCATAGCTTTCTGTTGACAAAGGTAACTTCTCAATAAAATCCATACTTATACATTTCCAAGCTTGCTGTGGAATAGGAAGAGGTTGTAGTAGTCCTGGATAATGAACATGCTCAGGTTTACTTGTCTGACAAACCACACATTGCTTCACAAACTGTTCTACTTCCTTCTTCGTATTTTTCCAAATAAACAAACTTCTAAATCTCTGGTAAGTCGCTTTCTGTCCAGAATGACCCCCTAATGAAGAAGAATGAAACGCTTTCAGTAATGCTCCCTTAATGTTTCCACTATTTCCAACATACAGTTTCTCATCCTCCTATAACAACCCTCCTACATACTGAAGATGTGGAAAGTTGACTTGGTCTATAGTGGCATTTATGATCTTCTGTTGTGCCTCTTGATCATTCACATAACTCTCAGCAAGTTGCTGTAGCCAAACAGGTTGCACAGTGCTAATAGCATTGACCTGGTCATCACAATTATCCCTCCTGGATAAAGCATTTGCTGCCTTATTTTCCTAGTCTTTCTTGTACTTGATTTCATAGTCAAACCTTATGAGTTTAACCAACCATTTATGCTGCAGTGGAGTATTTAGATTTTCTTCCAACAAGTACTTCAAAGACTGGTGGTCAGTTTTTACCACAAAATGATGACCTTGTAGATAATGACTCCACTTTTTAATAGCCATTACTAATGGCAGCAGCTCTTTCTCATATGTAGACAGTGCCTTATTCTTCTCACAAAATGCCTTACTTAAGTAAGCTAGTGGATGTCCATTCTGCATCAAAACAGCACCCATCCCCTCACCACTTGCATCAGTCTCTACTAAAAATTCTTGAGAAAAGTCTGGCAGAACAAGCATTGGACCTGTGCATAAGGCATCCTTCAACTCTTGAAATGCCCTAGTAGCTCTATCATCCCACTTAAAGCCTCCTTTTCTGAGTAAACTGGTCAAAGGCTTACTGATAATCCCAAATCCTTTGACAAATCTTCTGTAGTAACCAGCTAAACCTAGAAATCCCCTCAATTGCTTAACTGTTTTAGGAAATGGCCACTCCATAATACTCATGACTTTGTTAGGATCCATCTGTACCCTATTTCTGGAAATCACATGGCCTAAATACTCCATGGATGGTTGAGCAAAAGAGCATTTAGATCTCTTTGCATACAATTCATGGTCTACCAACACTTGTAATACCAAAGTAAGGTGATTCACATGTGCCTCCAAAGTGGGGCTGAATACCAGGATGTCATCAAAGAAAACCAGTACAAACTTCCTCAAATAATCCTTAAAAATCTTGTTCATCAGATTCTGAAATGTGGCTGGGGCATTAGTTAAGCCAAATGGCATTGCTCGGAATTCAAAGTGGCCATGATGTGTTTGAAAAGCAGTTTTTGGAATGTCTTCTTCACACACTCTGATTTGATGATAGTCAGACCTTAGATCAATCTTTGAAAACCACTCAGCCCCCTTTAACTCATCTAACAATTCTTCTATTATTGGATTAAGATACCTGTTTTTCACTGTCAAGGCATTGAGATGTCTGTAGTCAGTACACATCCTCCAAGTTCCTTCCTTCTTAGTAACCAATAGTACTGGAGAGGCATAAGGGCAATTGCTCTCCTTGGCAGTTCCCTTTTTTAGTAAATCATCCACCTGTGCTTCAATCTCATTTTTATGTGCATGTGGATACCTGTATGGCTTCAACTTGAATGGCATAGCACCAGGTTTGAGTACTATATGGTGCCCAGAGTTCTCTCAGGTGAAAGAGAGGTTGGTTCGTTAAAAACATTAGGGAACTTATCCAATACTACCATAATTGCTGGTAGAATCTCTTCCTTTGAATAAGGTGCAGAAAAGGTGTCAACAGCCTCTAATGATAATA